AAAAAAAAAACGGAAAAAAAAAAACGGAAAAAAAAAAACGAAGAAAGAAATGGAAAAAAAAAGGGGCCATGTGCGTGATTGAACTGCTAAAAAAGGTCAGTCCGAGTTTCAACTGAATTTGAAACTCGGGCCCTGACTAAACTGCTAAAAGCCTAAAATGCAGTTTGAAACGCAATTACAAACTGTAACCCTGACTGCACCGTACTTTTCTCTTTTTTTTTTCCTTTTCCTTTTTTTTTTTTAATGGGAACAAGGCTCCAATCTATTTGTGGGGTCTCGAAATGTGCAAAATGAGAGTGAATCTTCCGCTAGAACATGGAAAGATACACTGCTATGATTTTAAATTTTGTCTTTTGTGTCTTTTGTGCATGTCGAGAGTAGTGGAGGGACGCCCATTGGGCCTCGCTGCACTACTCTTGAATCTTGAAAAATCAAGAGTTCATCACCTCTGCACTCTTGATGTCGCATCCTGGATTTCTATTCAAGAGCTGTCAGATTCACTCTCGAGAACGTCGAGAGTGCGTCATCGCTGCACTAACTGTGGAAAACTGCTCTTGGTCCGGCGCTTCAAGAGGTGTAAGAAATGGCCCATCAGACGAGCTCTCGAAGTTTCCACAGTTCCCGCCTGCAGGAGCCTTGTTTTTCAAACGAGGCCGACGGGTCCCTTCATGCGGTTTGCAAATTTGAGAGTCGGCCTCAGGTCTCGGTGGACAAATCGTCGCTGCCCTGTCGTATAGCGTCTGTCCGGCAGTCGAGAATGCTCACGAGAGTCGAGAGTACGGAGTAAGTGCAGCGACGACAGCACTTGATGCCAATCCAGGAGTCTGACACCGCTAGACATGCTCTTGAAACTTTTCATGTCTCTAGCGTAGTGCAGCGAGGCCCATTTTCTGGTTTTGGCAAAAACAGATAGAGCAGCTACAACTGCCATTTTGTCAAAATGGACATCTTTTATTTTTTAAACGAAATTGAAACCGAGTTTTTTGGCCCAAAACTCGTCAAAATTTGTTGTTCCTGAGGGTCCGGCGTTTGTAAAACGCTGGACCCCCTGGTTTTACATGGACCTAGCTTGAGACCAGGTACCTCCAGGCAGTCCTGCCTGGAGGTGCCTGGTCTCAAGCTAGGTCCATGTACAGCCAGGGGGTCCAGCGTTTGTAAAACGCTGGACCCTCAAGAACAGCAAATTTTGGCAAGTTTTCGGCCAAAAAACTCAGTTTCGATTTCATTCAAAAGATAAAGAGTGTCCATTTTGACGAAATGGTCGTTCTACCGTCTTCCCCCAACATAAAGCACTCTGATAATGAATGTATCGAAGCGATATTTCCGGTCAGATACAGCCAAAGTTAGGGTGTGTTGTGTTCGGGGGAAGACAGTAGTCACACAGCACCCATGTTCGACAGACAAGGACACCTCACTCAAAGCATTGAATGCCTCTCCCACACGCGCTAAAGGGTGGGTATCGCCATTTGTCTCTCTCTTAAGGGTGGGTATCGCTAACTCTGGGCGATGTGTCTTGAGTCCTTTGTCCATCAGTCAAATGCATCCTGGGCAGACTGTCGGGCTTCAACCTCCTTCTTCTTCTTCTTCTTTGAGTTGGTGAAAAAAGTCTGGCGAAACAGTCTGCCACAGTCATCCCTTTTTTGAGTGTGTACACTGTATAGCGAATATGACCTCACACACACGCAAACAAGGGATTTAAAGCTAGGTTACCAATGGTCCGGAGACCGGACGTCTCCACCGGACGTCTCCCCCGGACGTCCCCCCCCCCCGTCGTCCGGATTTCCGGACGACGCCT